CGGGGAGGGAGGGAGGGGGGACCGGCGGCCCCGGGCGGGCGGGCAGCGGGGAGCGGAGCCACAGCGCGGAGCTCCCGGCGGACAGCCTCCGACCCCTCGCTCCGTCCCTCCCTCCCTTCCTTCCTTCTTTCCCTCCTTCCCTCTCGCCGCTCGCTGGCGGCTGGCAAAACCTGCCCGCAGCACGAAGGGCGCTGGCACAAGCCGGGAACGAGCCCGCCGGAGGCGCCGCGCTCTGCCCAGGTACCCCGGCCCTGTCCGAGGATCCGCGTTTCCTCCCCTGCTACTCCTCTTCTACCTTTTCCTCCTCTTCTTCTTTCCTCCTCTTCTGCCCGATCCTCTCCCTTTCCCCCGCCCCTCCGCAGAGCGGCCGCGGGCGCAGCCCCCCGACGCCGCCGCGGGCCGGGAGGTGCTCGGCGGGGCCAGGGAGGGAGTGGCCGGGCATCTCCCGGCAGGGAAACGGGGTCTGGGGCTGGCAGCCTGTCTGTGCGTGTGTGCGCCGGGGGGGAGGGAGGCATGGGGGCCGGGGGGTGCCGGAGGAGGGACTATGGGGAGAGGAAGGTATAAGAAGGGATGCGGGCAAGGGAGGGGGGTGATGGAAAGAGGGGGTGCGGGGCCCAGGGGCAGGCGCTGACAGCTGCTTTCCCCGCACCCACAGTCCCCTCCCCCGGTGCCGCCGTGGGGTGGGACTCCCCGGCGGGCCGCGGTCTCCCGTCCCGCTCGCCACCGGGGGTCGGTGCTGGGGCGGGCGTGCCGGGGTGGGCGGGCTCCGCCACCCGACGGCGCGTCCCGGACGCTGCCCCGCAGCCGGCGGGTGGGCAGCGGCACCCCCGGGACGATGCCGCGGCTCGGCGGGGGCCGGCCGGCCGCCCCGCGCCTCTGCCCGGCCTCCGCCGCCGTCCTGCTGGGCGTCCTGTGCCTGCCCGGGGCGCCGGCCTCCTCCCTGCTCACAGGTACGGGGCTGCGCCGGGTGGCATTGCGAGGGAAGGGCGGCCCCAGGTGTACCCGCGAGGGCTGGGGCAGGTGAGCACAGCCACCGTGCCGCGCTCCCCCCCACAAATGGTTTTCTTGTTCCTTTTCTTCCCCCGCTCCATTCTCCCCGTTTCCCCTCGAGGGTTTTATCTTCCTGAGATCTGGGGCATGGACCGAAAGGCAGAATCAAATTCTAGCGCAAGCGAGGAGCCATTAGACTTTGAGGAGTGATTCCAGCATGACAGAATACCGACTAATCAGCATTAGGGCTGTTAAGGGTTTCCTAATTTGATTCCGTTTGACAGTCAGCCTGCTAATTTTGACTCATTTGCCAAGTGGTTGCAGTGCATTAAAAGGATGCTTGGTTAAGGGCTTGCGCTGGTCCAAGTCCTCAGAGTGCAATGGACAGCTTTCTGCTGATTTCGGGGAGCTCTGCATCTATCGTTATAGACGTATCCTGCTTTGCATGGAGTACTCGTTATTCTCCACACGTCATCTGAGAGAAGAAAAAGCGTCCTTCTTTGCTATAACTGGAGCACAAAGAAAGTCTAGGTTTGTGCAGCACTAAAAGGCCACTTATTTCCTTGCTCTCTTTAGAGTCTTGCAGAAATGCTGAATGTCCTTGCCTGATTAAATCGGGCAAATTACTAAAGGGTTTAAAATCGAGGGCTAGGAATGGAGCAAGGGTTAAACATGAGTGTGACGAGGATAGTTTCCAAAACTGTCAGGGTGAAATGAAATATGCTAGTATTTTAAAATTTTCATTTCTATTTCAGGATCGGTTGCAAAATGTGAAAATGAAGGGGAAATTTTGCAGATACCTTTTATCACAGACAACCCCTGTATAATGTGTGTTTGCCTGGTAAGTGTGTATTTCAGCTAGTAAGAACATCCAGACGTGTACTAAATGTAACTGCATAGAGAGGGGAATGTTTCAGATAATCAAATCTTGGGTGACTCTGTTGCCTTTATGTAACACAAGGTTATCTCAGAGCTGAGCTAATTGAAAGTAACCCAATACATGATCTGGCAATCATTTCTTTGACTTTAAAACCTGGGCACAAAGTTGTACATGAGTATATTTCAGGATGTTGTGAAACCTTGTTTACCATGTGAATTTGTGGGGAGAGCTTTCACAGAGTTGGGGGTGCACCCAGAAGCCTTTGCTTGTAGCTCAGCAAAAAGAAGGAAAGGTAAGGTTTGGAAACTCTGCTGCTTTGGGCTCCCACCTGGTCTCTGTCACAATTCCAGTGGGTGAGGAACTCCACAAGGGTGCAACGCGACTGTATGTGCTGTAATAACATGACAGTGAAAGGACAAGTGATGCTTTCATCAGAGTGCTTTGCCTGCTGTGCTGGGAGTTCAGCAGTTAACAGTGTTGTTAGCTGATACACATTTTGAGGAGACACATTCTGCTTCCTTGTTCTGTTTCAGAGTTAAGCATTTTTGGGAGCAGTTCAGCTGGACAAGGCAAGGCCTAGGAGTTATTGTAAAACAGTCATTCTAAATAAAACTTCCTATGATATTTTTAAATAAAAGCCATAAACCTTAATTTGCCGTTGAATGCGAAGAAAAGTATAGGCTAGAAAGCTCTGTTTTACATTTTGGAATTTACAGAGTAGCTGAATGTACAAAACATGTTCTACTTTAGGACTGAGATATCAAAACACCCTCTCCCCCTAATATTATTGCTATTAATATTATTGTAAGCCTATAAAAGATGTGAAGAATTGTTTCAGACTGCCTTTTAGAAGACAGTTTTGACAATTGCAGGATCAAGATAATCTTGAACCCCTTGAGGTTGATATCTGTCACTGCACTGAGTTTAGTAGATTTTAGGTGAGATAATTGATAACTTTTTAGGTAATACTGATAAGGAATACCTTATTGATTTCTTCTGAGCAGAGTCGGGTGGGAAAAAGAGGAGCATGGGATGTGCCGAGTAAAGAAATCAAAGGGAAAACAGAAAGAGAGACGAAGCTGTGTTTTATCATGGGTCACCTTCCCAAATATGTCTGCCACCACTTTTGCTAATGGAAGCTGGTGTTAACCAGCGAGGAAGCAATTTATCTGTGAAAGAGCAGAAGTTCAGTCTTGGGCATCAGGGCAATAATGCATGAGGGTAAAACACTTGTATTTATAGATCTCTCTAGACCTTGGCTTTATTAAATCAATGAGCACCCTTTTAGTGTGTGAGCATGAAGAACTGCAAAAAGCATTGGATGTAAGAACTCTAAATCCCTGTGGTTTGCAGGGCTTACTTTAGTGAAATGGCAGCTGAGGGCATTTGGCTCCCTTCTGTGCCAGGAGAACACTATGTTTTATTAAGCACACAGATGCCTGGTGAGTTACTGCAGTTACCTGCCCTGGCTACACTCGGTTTTATTTCTGCCAAAGGAAAAATGCAATCTCTGTTTCTTGACTTGGAAGCTGGGAGACTTGGTGGAGGAGATGGAAGCCAGTCTGGAGATACTGGCTTTAGTGCTGTGCGACATCCAAAGCATTGACTTATTGGACTGCCCATTGCTGAAATCTTTGTTTAGGCCTGCCACAAGGGAAAAGATCAATTTTAAGAGGTCTGGGGAAAGAGGAAACAAAAGAAAAAATGGGGTGATTTGTAACCAGGAGGGAATAGAAAACCAGATTGCCTTACATTCAACTAGAAATATTGATTGTTTAATAACAATTCAGTAAGGAACTTTTTCTGGAAGAGTGATCATACTCTTCAAGGGCAAACCTGATGGATGTTCATACTGTAAGAAGTGAGCAATTAAAAAGAGAGCTTGATCAGCTGTTACAGAAAGGAAGCAGTTGCTGCTTAGGAGATGACAGAAAATTCAACAGAGGGCACTTATATTAAAAACACCACTAAAGAAAGTCACTGGAATTGCAGGTTGGATTATGGCATGTCTGCCTTAGTGGTGATGCATTTCCATGACCACAGGCTGCCATAAATAACAACACAAGTTATGGAAATCTGAACAGCTGGGATGAAGAGGAATATCTAAATAACAGTGGATGCCCCATCCCTGGCAATGTCCAAGGCGAGGGATGGGGGTCCTGTACAACATGATCTAATGGGTGGCATCCCTGTCCATGGTGAGGGGCCTGGAACTAGGTGGTCTTTGGGGTCCCCCTAATCCAAACCATTCTATGATTCTATTAACCCCCTTCCAGGACTTTGGCCATCTCACAGATTAGAGGACACAGAACTGAAATGCAGGAACTGTATTGTCAGGTGTTTGACAGAGCTTTGCAGACTGTCCTGTGGAGCATGCGGGTGCATCCTAGTAAGAAGGAACAAGAAGCAGCACAAGCAAAATGATCTCTGGCTTTCTCTTAATAGGCTGAATCATTTTGGAGGGTAATGCAACAGGTAGTGCTCTAGGAGAAAATGTGGTAAACATTGGAAGCTCATGGATAATGAGTAAGTTGCAATAATGAAATGAAGACTGCAAAGAGCAATTACAAAATCAATTCCTTTTACACCACTGGAAAGTCTTGGCAGGAAGACCAAAACCAAAAGTTTTCTTTTCTCATTGATTAGCAGAGACAGGGTGGACTGATTTTCATGGTAGGAACGTGAGCAGAAACAAAGCAGATAGAGCACAGACTGCTGTCTTTTTGGTAGAAGCATCTATCTCTTGTTTTTGAATTTTATTGATAACACAAACTCCTGAATCTTGAATACAAGAGGGATGTTGGTGGGGATGTCCTAGAGATAGCCAAGTTTAGCTACCAAACCAGATTTGCTAATTCTTGAGCACTTGCTCTAACATGTGGAAAGAGAAGCTGAGGTGATACAGAAGTTCACATAGAGGGTCATGTGCTGGAAGTTTCATATATGGTGTGTGGTAAGCCATTCACTTCTGAACTATAGGTAATGCTTTCTAATAAAAAGGCACTGCACCCACAGTGGGATAGCTCTGCTTTGGATGTCCCTGCTTGTCAAAATGAAATGTTGGAGTACATGTAACACCTTTGATGCTGGCTTTTGATATAAGGAAACAGGTAAGACTAAGGTTGTGTAGGTGTGTGTGTACATGAACACCGTAATGCTCTGCATGCAAGTGCTATCAGCTGAATAAACCTCTATGGGTAAAATATCAAGTTCCCAAATTAATAATTTATATTTTCCTACTTAATGGTCTTAGTAATGCCATAAAAATGGTAATTTTTAATACCTCTAAGACAAAAGTTTCAATGTGAACTTTTACAATTACCACACTTTAGCAATGGCATAAACATGAGTGAATTTGATCTCCAAAGAACTTGTCATTATTACAGCTGACTGCAACAAATGGCCATTTTGTTTTTGTCCTTTTAGAGAAAAAGATCAAAGTCAAAGAACAGAATGTGGTTTATCCACAAGGAATTTCTTGTAGGACTGATGAAAGCTCAGGTCTCCTAACTCCTGGTCTAATGGTTTGACTACAAAGGCATTGCTTTTTACTTCATGCACTTCCACTTTACAAGAGGATGTGGGTGACACAGTCACAATCTGAACATACTCCTTTTCTTTCGTGTCTCTCTGGCAACAGGCAGGCTGCACAGATGCCATGTTTTTGGTATGTCTGCTCTCCTGAGCTTTTTCTGAGACATGGATGGGCAAAAGACAAATTAAAGCTGTCTTCATGATCCAGAGGTTTGGGGAAGTATGCTTTACGACTTGCTGTTGCTCTCTGCAAAACGCTGTTAGAGCCAGAGTGCTTTGGTGCTCTGCCCACTTCCACTCTGAATGTCTTGTGGCTCTGCATCTCCTCGGAGATGCACTGCCTCCGGAAATAAAACATCCGACCTTGTTTTCCATAGGATCTGAGATGCTGGAAAAGGGCAAAGAAGGCTGAAGGCAACTGAAAGTACCTGCTTTCAAATGCATTCACCTTATTTGCTGTTAAACACAGACACTGGAGAAAGTACTTAGAGCTGATGGGTAAAACAGATACACAGAAGTTGCACTGGAAAATTGTTTTTCTGATCGTGCCATGGCTGAGCATCCCATTGCAACTGTGTTTATAGCTAAAGATTTTTCTGGTGAAAGGATAGGAAATGCTCTCAGCTGCACCAAGCTGGGTATCAAATGAAGGTAGACGCTGAAAGGAAATGCTGTATGTTATGGGCAGTAAGTTAAACAACCCTATGAATAAAAATTGTCCAAAAAAAGGAAACTGTTATTTCAGATAATGGTGTGGCCCCTGACAGTACAAAAAACATTGGAGAACATATGATTGTGACATTGTGTCATGCTTAATGGTCAACAGTAACAATGTCTTAAGTCTTGTTGGCTTCTGAAAATCAAAGTAGTGAAAGATTAGTGAAAGTAGTGAAGATTAGTGAAAAAAAAATTGTGCTTCAGGGAACTAGTCTGAATTGGTAACGATGATTATAGGTAAAAATACATAATCTGGATGGTATTCATAATGGAGTTATATTGACTCACTTTGAGAAATTGATTCCCGTTATTAAATGCTTTAAGACTGCAAATGATTAATGCAAAAATGATCTTCTAAAATTATCCTCCCACATCTGTGGAAAAATGATTTTTTTAAATAAATCCATAGGAACAATTTGCACATTTTGTGAGTTTGAGGAGCCCAAACATGTTGTGTATGACACTTTCAGATCTTTCTCTGTTATATGTGTAAGTTTTGGGCTGAAGGTAGTAGAGGCATAAGTAAATTTCTGTTAGTAGAACCAAATAAGGCTCCATAAATATGAAAGCCTAGCACATTTTGGTAAGTTTGGGACTTTTTGTATATTGAGGATTTTGAAATGTTAGGGGGAAAATGCTATTAACAGACCATTAAGGGAATTTTTGATTAGATTTCTTTTATTTGACTCTCAGCATTTAAAACAGGCATG